CCGTAAAGAATCGTTAGCACGCAAAGCATAGCGCGGTTACATACCATGTTATGTGTTTTTTTCTTGCCTATAAATGATTAGCGCATGTTAGTTATTTTCTACGCTTAACCAAAATAAATAGCAAAACATTCCATAATTTTTTATTTTTCTTGCATTAACAAATGTCTGAACGCAATGACGCACCAAGGTGCTATTATGGCAAACGTGCGATTATGAAGGCATGTTGGTCCGATGGTCATGTTGGGCGCAGACACTGGATGTGTCTATACAGGTTTGGAGGCAATGACAGAAATCATTGTATGTTTGAGGAATGGTATGATGAACCCATTAACTAGGAATACTACAAATCAATTTTGCAGTATGTTTGGAATATGAACGTTGAATACCAACGCCAGACCTCTGAAATGCAACAACAAATTGCGGCACTACAGGAGAAACTAAAAGAGGCGAAAGAAGAAAAAAATAAAATGGAAGAGAAATTTAAGTGGTTGGAGCAGAGAATAATGGGCAGTAGTGACTAAACAAACACATGTGTATGTTGAGTGTTGTATTTTATCTTTATGTTATCTGTGTCATGTATTTTCATAAGTTGTATCGAATTTAAATTATGTTAAGTTGATATGTTTGTTTTGCCTAGTTTTACTATTAAAATAACAATGACATATTGAAATAAAAACATAATGCACATATAATGCTAAACCATAGATAAAGTTGCTATTATTTGCTGATTGTCATATATACATAAAATCAAAAAAAATCAATGTGTCCCACAGCCTTTATGCTTTAAAGCAGCCGCTGGCCTCAGGCGCATCCCATCCCGGTCGGCAACACTATCAGGATCATCCTCACCACGACGCCTCTTTATCGGAGGATGAGCTGTAGCATGATCGTCAGTAAGGCTGACAAGCTCGGTACAAGGGGTCGTCGGTACAACGGTAACCTACAGAAGAATGACATATTTTAGTATATGAAATATATAATAGAAATGTAGGGGTTGACTGCATAAAAATAATTAAAATGTCTTCTCATGGTCACAGCGGGCTCCTGAATATACTCATCCGTCTCAGGCATGTGAGTGTCGCACCTAGTGGCCTCCGTGACGGGCGAGGATGATGGCTTCAAAAAAAATATGTGTTAGATATTTATGACTAATCAATGAGATAAACACAAAAATTAAGTAATAGTAATACAAATTAACTAAATCCTGTGGAAGATCCTCAGCGTCCCTTGATGGTGAGCCATAACTAAGTCAACGCCCACTATCCACATCTCTTACCGGATGCGCATCAGCAACCGACGATGCCTCTGGAGGGTCAGCAAACAACGCATCCCGGTCATGTGAGGTAAAGGTCGTGCCCGCAACCGACAATGGAGCTGACGGGGTCACCTGTGAATTCCCTAGAATAAGCCCCAGGCTAAATGACGAGATATCACTAGGATCAGGGTGCTCACCCGGCTAATCAACTCCAACATCCTCAACAGGTGCCTCAACGCCCCCTTGTTGGGGACCACCTCCTAGCCGACCCCCACGACCTCGTGGGACACCCCTACCTCCTGGCACACACCTGCCTCGTGGCACACCCCTGCCACGTCGACCCAGGCTGCACTGGTGGCCCACGATGGTAATGTTCTGGCGCCATATAATCAGCCTTGCTTCCTAAGCGCTCATCATCCTGGGCTCGCTACAATGTTTGGGCAGCCAAATCTGTAACTTGTCGGCCATAGTCGTGCAAAGCAGCCACTCCCTCACCGATATGCTACTGCATCTGCAGTCCCAACTGGTGGAACTTATGTAGTCCAATTACCTGCACGATATGTAAAGTATTAATTGCGAAACGGTAATGTTAAGCGCCTTATGTCCCGACGTATGGAACGAACCGACCTCCAGCGCGATGAATGGGATTTCCTACGATAAGTTGGGTAATGCTGCGGTACTAGCCGATATACTCATACACACCAGCCATAAGCTCGGGTGGAGGGGGTGGCGGAATCAGGTCACGACGCTGGTCCCAAGTTTCGATCTGCGCCTCTAGCCATGCCTCATATGCCTGGTCAACCCTCAAACGATCATCCCGCTGGTAATGTGTCCTAACCCAAGCGGGCGGTGGAGGTACAAGTTATGGTCGACCAAACTGGCAAAGAACTAGCTCGGTGGCATAATGCTCGACAATATCAAGACACATCAACGGGATGGAAGAGCTCCAGACAAGTCGCCCGATCGAGCAATAATCGGGCAAACCAGCTATTAGCTCGTCATTGTATGGCCTCCAAATGAACTATTACGTAAAAATAGGAACCGTGAGTATATAAAACACATATAAATCCACGCCAAGTAAACTTAAGTATAGAATTACCTGCGCGTCGTCCAGCAAATCCAACAAATCTCTGCAATAGGGAAGATTATGTCGAGCCTCGTACTCGCGTTCGTATCCCCGCCTATCAACCCACCTCCTAGCCAAAGGGAGAAATGGTGAGGTGGTGCATCCTGAGCTATGGGTGGTAGAGGTGGCTGAAACTGCAGGAACCGCTCCCAGGCCCAAACGTAATGTACAATTTGGACGTAAAATTTAAGGTATATTTTTATGATATATGTTATAATGAAGAGAGTATTTGATTATGTTTTCACTTGCAGCGCGACATAAATCCTGCAACATCTCATTGGGTGCCCATGCATGCCCGGCACTTCTGCCGGTACAAGTAACCAAGAACAACAGCAACCTGGCTGTACTGATATAAATCATCTAGCCGCTCAAGATGATGAAGAAATCCCAAGCTTACTAGGTTTCCTGAAGTGCTGGGAACAATACGCCTCCAAACATAAGCAACAGCAACGACCTCGTGTACCGGTTAATATGAAGCTCCGGTGTATCATGAGTAATGTCATCAAGCATGGCCTCCAAATGCAGTCGATGCAAGACGACTAGCCCCAACCAATACATCCTCATCCTCTGGCCAGAAATCGGTGAGCCGCTGCAACATGTCCAGGTACTGAGCTCCCGTATAATCTCTCATGGCTTGCGGCAAAGCAATAGGAAGTCCATCAACCGGCAGCCCATACAGAACCTCCACATCCTGCAGCGTGATAGTGCTCGCCAATGGGCGAATGGAATGTGTGCGTCTCTGGTCGCCACCGCTCTATCAAAGCTGTGATCAATGACCAATCCAGCTGCAGCCGGCCGATCTCAATGATCCTATAAAACCTGTATCCTCCAGGCGTCTGACTATACGAGGATGGAGCTGGCGATCCTTAAGAAAGTCCCACTTATCATCTATTCTCCTAGAACGTAAAGTCTGGGCCAGTAACTTCCCCTCCCATATGTAGGAGGACCTATGCTCGGCCTGTAGTTGTAGTAGCTCTAGGGAGGCAGGTCCCGGATGCAAAGGAACCTCCATGAAGACTACTGTAAATTGAACAAAATTAATTACATTATTTTTCTTTTCCACTGCTTAAATATATTGCAATACCTTGAAATATTAAATTTTATTCGATATTTTTACTATATTGTTTATTAGATTGATACATTTTCAATATTATAATTTTATATTTTATATGTTACTTTAATATGTTAGTTTTATTATTTTATATGTTTGTTAGTTATTCACCTATTTTTTACTATACATGATTTAATTATTAAATATTTATATTTTTGTTCCGGATACAATATTTGAGCCCCAGTAGCACCAATGTATCCTGAATTCTTATGTTCATGATGAGAAATTTTTTCGATTTTTCGCTCAACAGGTCTGTTATTTTATATGTTAGTTTATTATTGCATATCTTAGTTTTATTATTTAATATGTAGTTTTATTATTTAACATGTTATTTATTATTTTATATGTTTGTTTTTGTTTCTTACTGACTTATTTTTACTATACTAAAATTAAATAATTAATTTTCATAACTATACAAGATTTAATTATTAAATATTTACATTTTAGTTCCGGACACAATATTTGAGGCCGAGTAGCACCAATGTATCCTGAATTCTTATGTTCTTACGTTTGTTGACTATATTTGGAGATAGTTTGTGTTTGAACTATCAGTTTTTTGACGTATTTTTGGGAATAAGAGATACTTATATGATTCATTTCTATAACTAAAAGGATATTACGCTAAAGGACACTACGTTTTACTACGCTAAAAGGTCACTACATTACAAATACGAGCAGTACATTAGGCCACAAGATACCACTACAGGGAATGAAAGTAACAATTTATCTGGTTTACTAGTCTTTTAGCAAATAAATAATCTAAACCGGATAAAAATAATAAATCAATTTAATCACAAAACAATGACCAAATTACATATACCACAGTAAAAAGTAACTAATTAACACTTTTTTAACAAATAATAATAATTTTTCTATTTTAGGAATTTTTTTAGCACACTAATACTATAATCCGGACAAAAAATAACAAATTAGTTAAATCGCAAAACAATCACAAAGTAACATAGAGCACATAAAAATAATTAATATGCATTTTCTATACAAGTTTTAACAAAAACTAAGTCGAAATACCTCGATTTAAGGTTTTTAGAAAGTCGAAGATTTTGTGATTTGGAGCCGAAACAAGCAATAATATCCGAGATAATGCCTTAACTAGCACGTGGGACCGAGAATCTTTGCTTTTTGTGGGACAGGTGGGCTCCACTCAACCTTTTTGGGTTTAAAAATGGGCGGGGGGAGGGGAGGTCGATTTCTGTTCTGTTTTGGGGAAGATGAAGACGGGTCTTTATTATATGTATAGCGTCTTTTGTAAAGACGCTATGTATATAATGTCTTAACCAAAGACGCTATATTTTTCCGCTTAAATTAATTCAAATATAGCGTCTTTTAAAAAGATATATACTTAACTGGCCAAACCGTCGTTAAAATATAGCGTTTTTTAAAAAAATACTATATATATATATATATATTTTGATCACTAAATTTTTCTTTCACATATTTATGTTCTTTGACTCCAAAAAAAATAGCATTTTGGTTTCGGACTCTGTAACAAATTGGCCAACAAGTCATTTCACTGTCTTCACCCTTGCAAATTCAACGTATTTCTTTCCCTTTTCCGTCCATTATTATAATCGCCGCTGTACAAACTACTTTCTCTCTCTACTTCATATACACACATCTTTCTCTCTCTACCTCTCTAAGTTAGGTTTTTTTTTTTTAAGAAAATAAAAATCCTTTCTATCCCCTAAAACCCTATACGTTCATATATGATTAGTGTTGTGTTCAGCAATTGAAAACTTTCTCTATTAGCCATGGGGTCCACTTCTGGGGACGCCGGAGGCGGTGGTTATCCGGCACAGGCACCGGCTCCGATGCCAAGCGCAAATGCTCCGCCGCCTTTTCTGGTGAAGACTTACGATATGGTAGATGACCCGAGTACTGACAAGATTGTTTCGTGGGGTCCCACCAACAATAGCTTTGTTGTTTGGGATCCCCCTGAGTTCGCCAAGGACTTACTGCCAAAGTATTTCAAGCACAATAACTTCTCCAGCTTCGTTCGTCAGTTAAATACTTATGTATGCATTTTTATTTTTATTTTTTTGATTGATTTGTTTTCACTTAACCTTGTGCTCTTTGTGAAAATAGAGTTGTTCTTGGTTGTGCTTTTGTTGATTGGAAACGGAAAGCATTATGCTGTCAATCTTGTGATTGGTAAAGTTGGTGATAGAAATTATTAACTATGTATTCAAATTTAAGTAGAAAGAAGATTCTTATGCAGAACCAATTGATTGATAGATTGGTATGATATTTTTGGATTCGTTTTGTCCTGATTAGTTTGGGTGTCATTGCAATCACAACTGTTTCATCTAGAAGTGAGTGAAAGATTTCAGTGTCTTAATCCCTTCTTCCATCATCTCTAGTAATGACACTGCTGTCAATGTATACAACCGTATGGAGGCAGTATAGAATTTTGATAGGAGAAGAAGCAATTCAACATGCTAAGGGTCCAAATTCATGTTCTAGTGATGTGGACAGAGAATGCGGACATATTGTCGACATGACATACACAATGGCCTCTGTACATGTGGCGTGTTAAGTTACGCTCCAGTTAGTGATAGGGACAGAGATGCCAAATGTGGGTGCGTGCACCAGGGAACAGTGTGCTCTGTGGATCACTATGTTAGTCCTTTCGAGATGAAACTCCTAGTATGTCAGTTTACCGATTTGGTGATGAGACTGAAACAAATTTTGAGACTATGAATGAACTGCTTCTTAAACTTGCCACAAAAGATTGCATGACTAGCATTGACCTAGATTCAGATGTTATCCTCCAGCGCTGATAGTTAAAAAGAGATGAGCAGAGAGAAAACTACTTGTTTTGATAATTGAAACTCAATACAATGTGGCTCCTTATATAGGAGTTATTATCCTATTCTCATAAGTAAGAGCCTGATAAGTGCGGCAATGAAGTGGGTGTTCTTTCCTAATGCATCCTAAGATTGTATTACTCCTAAGCGCCATCTCATCATGCTTGCTTGTTCTTTGAGGCTAAAGAACTTTTCCTGTGCCATTTGCCACCTAAAATTTAATTAAGAGATAAGTATTGAGTTTGAATGGAGCTCTAATTTTTTGTAGATTTTCTTCGATTTTGTAAAGTAAATTTTAGCTAGTCATATTGATCACCAAAGGAGCCGCTTGTGAAGTATCTTTCTTTCTTTTCCTACTTGAATAATTACCATTTATTAGAATAATATAACTTAATACTCTACCTGCATAGGAAACCTCTAGCATGTCCTCTATAATATTTATTTCTTTTGCAACAAACAGGGTTTTAGAAAGGTTGAACCAGACCGTTGGGAATTTGCTAATGAGGGATTCTTAAGAGGTCAGAAGCATCTGCTTAGAAATATTAGTAGGCGCAAGCCTGCTCACGGACACACTCAGCAGCAGCTGCATGGTCAAAGTGCGTCGGTTGGGGCTTGTGTTGAGGTTGGAAAGTTTGGACTTGAGGAAGAGGTTGAGAGGCTGAAAAGGGACAAGAATGTGCTTATGCAAGAGTTGGTTAAGCTGAGACAACAGCAGCAGACTACCGATAATCAGATGCAAACAATGGTGCAGAGCCTTCAGGTTATGGAGCAGCGGCAGCAACAGATGATGTCATTCCTGGCAAAAGTTGTTAACAGCCCTGGATTCTTGGCACAGTTTGTACAGCAGCAAAATGATAGCAATAGGCGCGCAATGGAAGGCAACAAGAAACGCAGGATTAAACAAGATTTTCCTTCAGATGATCTTTCTGTTAGCCCTGCTGATGGGCAGATTGTGAAGTACCAGCCTGTAATGAATGAGGCGGCAAAAGCAATTCTCAGGCAGATAATGCAACAAGATTCTTCCCCAAGGTTAGATAACTTAAGAAACAGTCCTGAAAGTGTACTCATTTGTGATGGTTCACCCCAATCCAATGCATTAGACAGTGGAAGTTCCAACCGAGTTTCAGGAGTCACTCTTCAGGAAGTTCCACCCACTTCTGCCCAGCCATTTGCAAGTGCAACTTCAGCTGTTGCTGGTCAAAGTTCATCGGCTTCCACATCTGAGATCCAGTCATCTCCTCTCTGTAAATCTTTTGAAATTGCCGACATTCAGTTTTCAGATATGCGTTCCCTGGTTGGAGGGAACGACTTACCTCCTGTTTCACTGTCTCCATCAGATATGACTATGCCTGAGCTCTCACAGATACAAGAAATTGTACCTGTAAACAATATGGATACTGATGGATCAGAGATGGAGAATGGTTCTTTCGTAGATCCCACATTGGATGGAAATGGAAACTTGCCATTGGGAATTGATACTTTTTCTCCCGATCCTCAAAACGAGTGGCGGAGTACCTTGATGGACGATATAGGAGAGCTTCCTAATTTGGGTGATCCCTTCTGGGAAAAGCTTCTTCAAAGCCCACTCCCTACCGAGACAGAGGAGATGGACTCGGTTGAAATAGAAGATATTAAGACTACTGAAACTGAGCCGCTAAAAAATGGATGGGACAAAGCTCAGCACATGGAACATCTCACTGAACAAATGGAGCTACTAACATCAAACAGTAAAAAGGTATGATAAAAGGTCACCAAAGAAAATGTACATGAGGTAATCTAGAAATCTCATCTCTGTTATGGATCATGGGCAGCTTCCCATAAGATATTAGCTCTAATACCTGCTTTCACCTTTGCTCCTGGATTTCTTTGCATATATAGAAACGTGTTTAGCTCCGTTGTTCATCTGGATTAGTCTTATGTGGTTCACCTCAGATTTTTTGTTTCTTCCTTACATAAAGCAGAATGGACCTACCATAGTAATTTTTTTATGAAGGTTCCCTTTTTCCCTTTTTCCCTTTTTAGTTTTTCACTGTATAAGTCTCTGGTCATACAAGTTTGTAGAAATTACAGGCCTCTTAATGCTGCTAACCGGCCAATGCCCTTTTAACCTTCTATGTACTAGTCTGTTAGCAACATCTTTGATTGCAAGATTGTTGGCTTTGAAGAGAACTTAATTTATTGGTTGTGCTTCGTGGCAAATTATGTGCCTCTGTGTTTAGGTAGTAATTTGCCTCCGTGAGTTGATTACCTGAGAAGTTAGATTCTAAGTCTTCACAATAACTTAGGAATCTTTCTTGGCGGGCAGTTGGAAAAGTTGTGCAATCCTGGGAGAAAAAACTGATCCTGCCTGTACCAAGTCAATGCAAGATTGTAACCTGTAGCTTGCTGGGGCTTTCGCTATAGTTGGTTACAACTGTATTAAACATCAAATGCATGTGTTAATAAGAGAAAGCACTTGGTTTTGGGTTTCTGTGATGGTCTTGTGTGTTCGGCTAGACAGAGATTTTCCAAAAACTATTTTCTGAACTGTGAGAACTCTCACTAAGATGTGATGGATTTTGTTGTCTTTCGCACTGTGGGGTTTTCTTTGGGTATGTATTCATTGTCTAGTAGGGTGAAATATCTCCTTCGAGTTAGTCATAGAAGCCAATGATGGCGTGTCTCATTTGCTCTCCCACGTAGTTATTAAAAAAATATGATGTGACTATATCATAATGTGATTTCAGTTTGATGTCATGGTATCAAAATAGCTTGATCGAGTTGTCAAGTTGCGGAGGTCGACATATTGAACTCGTACAAACATCTGCTATATGGATTGGGTTGGTAATGAGTTGTTTAACTTGGACTGCTATACTAGATATACCTATTTTGCGGGTGGAAGGGGGCAGTGGATATAAGGAAAATGGTTGTCATTTGTTATGTCGCATGCCAACAACATGAAATGACTTAAGTGAAAAAGAAGGCTAAAGTAAGCCCTGGCTTAACTTTGCTGCAAATTCCAGCAGCTGCTCGTTGGCAGCAAATTTCATCACCATCCTCACTTTCATCCTCCACAAGTTTAGCTTCTCTAGTCATTGAAAATTATGAGATTCTTGGTCATAGAAGTTGCAAAAAAGTCCACATGATTACCCATTTTGTGACTAAACTTCAAAATGCTTCTTCAGAGTAGCTGGTCCATTCTGTTCCATCATTTCACAGATAAAAATAGGATCTTAGCTGTCTTAGAGTTGGAACATTTGAATCATGACATAAGTATGAGCATTGTATTGTAATCAGGGCAGTTACCTTCTCTTTCTCTTTAGTAGCTAAAATGTGTCGATGATTGGCAACTATCCGAATTTGGATCCACACATTTGTAATATCTTTTCCTAACACAGTTTGACTTGGTGGTTAAAGTAGAGTTTTTGAGATTATAAGAGGTTTGAAGTTCGAATCCCACTAAATATATTGTACTGATTGTTGCTGATGTGGACTAACTGACGATGTAGCTGTTGATCAAAAGCTAGTTATTTAGTTTTTTAACTGGTCGTCCCAAGAAGACTGACGTATCAGATGATGAAGGTATATCGGCTTCTTATACATTTGTGTAGTAACTATTTGGGCTGGTGCCAAGTATCATGGTCCTAGTGGAGTAGTGGTTATACGGGGGCTTTTGCATTTATACCCGGTTTTCGGGTCACAATTGAACCTATACCCACTTTGCAAAAAGTTTGCAAGCGTACCCACTTTACGATCAACTTCAGACTTATGGGTCTGAAGTTATAAAATAAATGCCTGAAGTGAAAAAATTGCACTTCAAATGCACTGAGCCAAATAGGTTTGAAGTGCAACTAATGTTTTCATGCTAATAAGTCTGAAGTGAAAAATTGCACTTCAGATGCACTTAAGGCTAAAAAGTCTGAAGTGCAACAAACGTTTTCATTTACTTAAAGCCAATAAGTCTGAAGTGAAAATTGCCCAGAAACGAAATTTTGTTCTTGAATTATAACAATGCAATATACGATTTAATACATAAATCTACTCCAAATTAGCTCACATTTGAAACATAGCCTCTAAATATCATCAGGAACAAACCCCATTCATCAATTTGTCAAAACAACAATAAATCTAATGAACCCATTTTATAATTAAGAAAAATAAGAAGAAGAAACCCTAAGCAATAGTAAAAAATAAAACGTCATAACAACTCACTATTGTAAAATATTATAAACTATATTAAAATATATTCACAACCACCATATAAAATCATTGTCACCCGAAGAAGAAGAAGAAGGAGGAGGAGGAGAAGAAGAAAATGAAGGAGGAAGAGGAGGAGGAGGCGAAAGATGCCTGAAGTTGTTTAAAAAGTGGGTACAGGTTAAAACTTTTTTAAAAGTGGGTATAGGTTAAATGGGGGCGACCAAATAGGGCGCCCGTGCAATTTTTACATTATATGAAATGCATTTTTTACCCTAAGAATATTGGGTTTTCATCGAAATATTAATATACGTCCCCTGAAGAAATCTCGAATGTTGAGTTGCAGTTTCGTTGCTCAAAAGAAAGCAACTCCTTTGATTACCCATTGAAGAAATCAGTAATTTTAGAGAAGGCGGCAAAGAGCATTCCACCTAAGGAAAACAGACTTCATTGGTGCAGAATAACAATGTAGAAGATTCATAATGTCAAGCCATCTCTTTTTATAGAAATGCAGTTTGGAAACCCCAAAGATTTAAAAAAAAAAAAAATACCAAATACGTACAATGTATGTTATGAAGCATAGTATGTATTTATAATCTATTTTCTCTTTTTGGTTATAAGAAGACCTCTTTAAATACACTCTTCTACCCAGCATAACTGAATGTAGCTATTCGGAGAAAAGAAAATATTTGAATCTAGTTAACATCATTCAAAAGGAACAAGCAACTATTACACAGTGTTATACTTGAACGTAACTGCTGATTCCATATTAACAGAAAGAAATACAACATATCTCAGGAGTCTGTGCTAAGGTATAGAATGTAGATTACTCATTTTGGCAAGTAATAAAGAAGAAGAGTGTATTTCTCACGTACTGCAGTTGGAGGTTTGCAACCAAAAGGATAAGCCCTTACTATCATTCCTAGAGTTTTAGGCATCGAATTAGTAGTACATAAAGCTTGCTGAATAAAAGGATATATGTTGAAGTAGTTGTTTGGCTGTCCATCTTCTTGGAGGGTCATTTATAAACACTTGTATAAAAAATCTCTACCAATCTCAAAAACATTACTCGGAATCATAGCGTGTGGCGATAAATCCAAACGCGATCGAGTCCCAGTCATCATCTCGCACCCCAGTGACCTTATATGATCATAAGCTTTTGCCGATTCTCAGTGACAATGAATCCAAAGTCAGCCAACTTCAACTTGGGCATGCCACGTTCATTAGCATCGAAAACCAATACATTAGCAGGTTTAATATCACAATGAACCCACCCGAACATCTTGATATATATTCATAGAAACCTACTTCCAATTCTGACATCTTTCCTCTCTTTAAATTGATCAAATCGTCACATGCATATTCAAGAAACAAATTGTAAGTTGGAATATATATATGTTGTTCTCGATGCTTACGTGCTTCTCTTTGGAGTGAAATTGAACGTGGGAGATCTGCACATTTTTTCTGAAGCGCATGATAAAAATACGAATCCATTTTCACTGTGTAATACACTTTGCCGTAAGAGCCGTAAGACCCCGCACCTAGAACAAAAAGCTTTTTCCACTCCATTGATCCTCTTCGCACTTTCTTCTTAAGCTAAATGAATGATTGTGTAAAATAACATATGCTAGCGAATTTATAGAAACCCCTTAAATCCTTATTTGATGTGGAAAAGCTTTCCTAAAAGTAGCCGCTAAGGGGTTGTTAGTATAATTTTTTTTTTGGTAACTTTGTATTTCCAAATTATTAAATCCTCTTTTGACGAGGAGAGGGTAATTTCCTCCGCTAGCCTAGTGCTTTATTCTGTAGGGAAATTACACGGGAAAATAACAACAATAATACTGCAATAATATTTAGAGCGGAAATACGTGAATTGACTTGAGTCGTGCTGGGCACTATCCTAAAAAACTATTTCAGCAATGTGAAATGTTTTGTCAGGATTAAACAAGCCCATCTCTGGTTATTTAGAGGATACATGAATCAGCAAAATATTAATAATAAATCCAGCAAGTTTGGAATGAGGAAATAAACACATGTTATAAAAGAAACTGGAACACACAAAAGGCTACACGTAATTGAAAAAAGCGAAGGCCTGTAGTGATGATTACTAATCATTCGCAATCATGAGAGAGCAAAGTATTTGTTGGTGTTTTCGGATGGTATAGGAAGTGGGAGAAATTTTATTTTGGGTGAGACTCACCCAACAATAGTTGTATGAGGCCACCTTCTTCGTTTGACAAGTGTAGTTGTGGGGCCCATTTTCTGATATTGGTTTAATTTGAATAAACAAAGAAGAAAAAGTAATTTTGTTATTGATGTGGATCCCACTCCCACTCATATATTCCATAAACATGTAGCTAAATAGATATTGTACCAGAGAAATGGAAGGAAAACGTGAAAGCCATTTCCCTCTTTAATTACCATAATTTGCTCACCACCAAACGTAATATTTATATTTTTGTATATATATGTCTTCTTCGTTTTCATTCTAAAAGTTTGTATCTTTTCAAAATCATCTTAAGTTACCAACGCTTTAATAATGAGCCTTTAGAAGTTGTTCGTTGATATAAATATAAAATATAATATACATAATTTGTTAATAAAATTCTCCTCATTTGGTACAGAAATACAAAAATGTGGTCACTAGCATTGAGTACTTATGCATATTGATTCATTTACTACCATGTTTAACCTGTCATTATCGAAATATTGTTTACTATAAAATTAAAATAAGACTAATATAAATTTTTATCACTAAGAGGATATTTGAATTGACTTAAAAGCTTATCAATTCAACTTAAAGCACTTTATGGCTTATTTTAGTATTTGATAAACTTAAAAAGTAATTTTGAGTCAAGTATTTTTAAGCTAAAATAACTTAAAACAAGCTAAAATTTATAATTTGGTCATTTCAACTTATTACTTTTTTGCTTAAAAGCATTTGAGATTTGCCCAAATAATTTAATTTTTTACCCTCATTAAAATATTTCCTCCATGT